GGAGAATAGATGTTAATAGCATAATAGTTCTTTACTCACATGTACTTCTGATGGAGTCAGTCTTGTCCACCCATGTCAGACACTTGAGAGGTTAAAAAAATAATTCAAAGAAATTTGGAATATATTTGCTAACAGGAAGGCAACCCAGATCAGATTACTAGTTTGGTTTTGTAAAAATCTTGAAATGGTGGCTGAGTCTTCATTACTCAGATTGTATTCTTGAAAGTGTTTCCTGTTCAGATTTAAAATGATGATGTCCCTCTTCAGTTGAGAGATCTGAAGCTCCACATTTTATATGGCATGTTCAAGATAAGTAGAAGGAATTTTAGACATGTCTCTTTATGACAAAGGACCTGTGCAATGGCTTTAAAGATGTAACTTCGTGTGTACCTTATGATACACTTGTGAGTCCTATTTTTAAGTCTGTACACTTTACAGTCTTGGTAATGTGTTCAGATCCAGTATGCAAACCTTCTGAATAAAGAGAAGTCAACCTAGGCACACCTGGTATTGCAGGACATGGTTTGATTAAATTTTAGTGGAAAGCTTTTACATATTTCAGAGGCGTTCCATAGTCACATAAACTTACAGCTTATCCTAAAAGTCCAGTTGACTTCATAACCACAACAGAAGTAAGAAAGTAGACTGTAATTTTTTATGGTGTATGTTTTGTATTTTTGGAAAATCCAATGTCTTTTAAAGAACTGGATCACGTGGCAATATTTTATAATATACACATTTTTAAATTACTGCATGTTTTTTTATTTATAATTGATTGTATTGCTTATATAGAGATTTGGCATTTGCTGATGCTATCATTTTTATTTACCTGAAACAGATTGTGATGCTTTATTTTGTGATGATATTGTGAAACATCTGAAAATAAAGGGTGATAAGATGCTTTTCAACATTAATTCCTGTATATTTCCTCAACTGTAGGGCCAATTGACTGTTCCTTTTCCTTAAAATACATCTTAAAAGTTAATTGGTAAACATGACTAGGTCACATGTTTCACTAATGTCAGGGAGGAGAGAAAAGCCCTCTCTTGTGAAGTGCTGGAACAGCATTCGTGGTAGAAGTCATCAGTACATATCCATACAGTGCCAACACGTAATACATGTTTAAACTTAGTTTTCAGTTGTTTATATGTGTTGAATAATGAAAAGTGCTTCCATCTTCTTTTCTTGGATAATTTCAAGAATGCTGAAGCTAAGGAATGAGGAAGAAAAGGCTTTTACCCACATTGGATGAATGGCACGTTCTGTTTAAAGACTGGGACGTAGAAAATATATTTACTTCTGTATGACTCCACGATAATCTTCCAGGTAAAGTAATTTCTCAATCTTTATGTCAATAAATAATGTTATGTATGGTGTGAACTACAGTATGGTTGCCTGAACAAAAAAATTCCTTGTGCAAACAAGGGATGTGCCCATTTTAAATGTGATATTGTCATTATGATTCTTGAATAACTTGGTAGACATTGTAAAGATTGTTTTAATACATCAGTATAGCTGTCTTGTAGTGACAATTGTGAGTATTCCGCAGAGTCATTACAATACAAAAATATGTTTCTTAAACTAAAAAACAATGTGGTATTACAGCACCTACTCTTCTGAAAAGGAGAAGTAATATGCACTAGATTGTGCATAATTTTTCTTTTTAAATTGCAAGGTTTTGGTGAAGAAAAGCTTAGGTAAGTTGCTTGTAGTAAGCTGTAGTCAAGAAATCATAACCATTTGAGAAGTATCATACTTATTATTTGTGTACCCACAGTACTGATGAGTTCTTCCAGTAGACCAGAGCAAACGTAGAGACCAGTCTGAAGTGCTGAGCAGAAGGAAATCTAAAAATTGGCAAATCCTGAAGCAACTGAAAGAAGTTCTAGGTGTTTCCCTTGATGTGATCAGACAATAGGTCTAAACTGAGGCTACCATGTTTTTAACTGCTGCTAACTTTCATAAGCCTCATTTGTAGCAGATTACAGCAATGAGCAGTTGACCTGCTTTGATCTGTAATGTAAAGTCAGTAACTTTCATGGAGTCACAGAGTTGCACAACTTGGAAGGGACCTCCAGAGACATTGAATGTAACACTCCTGCTAAAGCAGCTTCCCTACAGCAGATTGCACAGGTCAGCGTCCAGGCAAGGAGGCTGCACAGCCTTGTAGAATTAGTCTAGATGTCATTGATATGTAGACTGTAGCTGTAAAATGCATAATTTGATTTTTCAGTGTTCCAGAAACTTGGGCAGTAAGAGGAAAAAAAATTAGTATACTGTGAAATGAAGAGCTTAAAGCAGTTTTGGTCTTTGTGGCAGAAACTCAATCCATTGTTTAGTTCTTACGCAAGTAGGCACTAAAAAGAAAAACCTACTGATGGCCTCTCTGACCCTTCTGTGAAGACTTGTCCAAACCTGTTGCGTTCATGGAATCCCACTGTGCAATAGACAGCCAGTGGTCTGTTTTTTTCTGTAGTACACCTCGTTAGAACAACTCATCTAAGTAAAGTCTGCTAATTAAAGCTTTCCTGAATCTTTTGTTTTAATCAAATTTAAAAGCCAAGTCTCTTTATCCCACAACATGAAGTATCTGTGTTTAATGCTTAGTATTCAGTAGTTGTGAACTGGAGCCAGAGGGAAAATTGCATATCATTTAGAACAGCAAAGCATGTATACAAGCATGTTTCTGCTTCTTTGTTACATCTGAAGAAAGATTACACGTTTTCTTACAGGGTATATGTGATTTTCTCTGTTCTTGGATGAGAAAGACTGAATGTTGTGAAATGTTCTTCTGGCAGAGCTGAAGGTCTGACTTTCAGTCAAAGCACTATTGTTTGAAGGATATACAATATCCCAGGCATTGATTTTTACAGATAATTATTTATCCTTTGAAAAATAAAGGTTAATTTTTACTTTTCATTGGTAATTTAGCTATGCTTAGCGTGTCTTTGTAAGCAGCAGTTCCTGACTGGGGGAAAAAAAATATCTGTGTGGTGTTTTATGAGTTATGAAGAAATTTGAAGAGCATCATCCTTAAAACTAATGTTTGAACTTAAGCTACAAACTAGCTAATCTTTCACAAACTTTGTGTGTATCTCCATATATTGTTGTGTGTTCTTCAGGATGACCAGGCATTTGCTCAGAGTCTGCTGCAGATTGAGGATATTACTGTGTAGTGAATTATTTTCAGGGAACGTTTAACATTAAGGAAAGACAAAATTGTCCTGTGCTCTGTGTGTGTGTTTTGAGCTGCTGTGGAAACTGCATGAGTATTATTGTGTAAACTGAGTACAGTGTGACCAAAGGGATCCTTTGCCTTAAGATTATATTAAGGTACTGGACAGACTGTCAAATTTTGAAATTGAACTACTCAAAAACATATTTTTAAGTTGTGCTTTTGAGGAGAAATGCCCTTCTAAATGCTCTACAGTTAATCAGCAGGAAAGATTCTAGTAAGTCTCTAAAAAGTGGTTAAGGGAAGGCAGTATCATGGGAAAAGATGACAGGTTCCTGTCTAAGATGTTGCTGATGAGGTAGAATTTTAGAACAGTCCTGAATTGTTGCTTGGTAAATTTGGAAGCAGCTTGTGGTGCAAGTGTCAAAGCCAGGCTTGAAAGAAAACAGTCCCAGAAGAGAATCAGACACATGAGACTGAAGAGGTTCTAAGAAAACCAAAAGTAAACATTCAGGTAAAATAAATCAGTTTTTCTGGCATACTACCTTCACTAAAGTCACAACAAAATACTAGCAGAAATTCCTATCAAAGAACACCTTAGAATAGTTTGTTTGTGCAATAGAGTGGCAGAGGAGCAAACAGCATCAACATTCATTGAGGTGAAATTAATAATTGTAACCCCAGTTTCTGATTCAGGAGAGTACTGGTCACTTCTAGAAACTGAGATATTTATTTATCCTAGTAATGAACAAATATTCTGACTTTGTTCTTGCCAGAATGTACAAACAGCACTCCTTGACACAAACCTCTGCCCAGTTATGACTTAGGCATTAACTTTTCAAACAGACCAGTAACGTGCAGTCACTGAAGAAGGTTTATGGATATTGTTTATTTGTTTTTTTAGTAATCTATGGAAAGAAGTCCACGCTATGAAGTTTTTTGTTTAAGATCCAAATGTAGTGAATTGAACTGTTGTGCTTGGGACAGTTATTCATCACCAGTGCCTGGTGCAGTTATTCATGCAGAGCAGGCATGATTTTGCCTTTATATTTTTCCAGAAAAGAATATCAAAATAAATCTGCAATTTGGACTGAAATAAAACTGTAATTCCACATCTGCAAAAAGAAGAGATGCAAAGGCAGTAGAAAATGAAAAAAGTCTTGTTTAGTAAGTTTAGAAATATTTATTTCCTTTTAGAATCTGACTGGAAAATTCATAATTGTGTGATAATGAGGAAGTATATGTGTGCTATTTCATGCCCAACTATGGGAAAAGTTTTGGAAAATCATAACATTAGAAGTTCAGAAATGAAAAATTCAGAAAGATTGCAACCATGTGTTGTAATTAAGCTGGTTGTGGATTGAAGAAAGTGGTGTCAGTAATATACTATGAGCTGCAGCAGTGTCAGCAATCAGAGAAGCCATAATTGCAGCCAGATTTCATTTGTTTTTAAAGCACAAACATCTTAGGACCAATATCAAATACAAATAACAAACTTCTCATATTTAGGTTACGGGCTTTTAATGTGTTTTTAGAACACTGTGTATTCCAGGAAGTGTATTAAAATACATTCAGAGTTGCTATCTTTAAAAGGTAAGGTACACCTAAAAGGAGAACCAATAAATGCTTGTGACGGATACCTTGGCATGTTGGAAGTCATGTAGTTGAAGAATTCTTTTCATACGTATTTTGAAATTGAAAGGGTAATGAACGTTTCATGGAACTTGCTTACCGTAAAATGAATTACAGTGGAACGCTTACCAGGAAGTTGTATCTGATGCAAGTTAATTAGTAATTTTTTTTATAGAGAATGATGCTATAAAGCAAGCTCAAAATCCATGATCTTTGACTTGCTGTGGTTAACAGCAGTAACAGAAACTTCATTCTGCTGCTAGCAACATCTGTGAGAAGCCGTCATTACCACACTTGGCAACAGGATGTCCGTTCTTAAAGTCTTGTTTTTCATTCTATTGGTGGCTGGTGATTCTCTGAGTCAAGAACGTAAGAAATACATTTTTGCTTTATAGTTTGCTAGAATAGTAATATTTCTATTGAATACTTGGCTAACCTTTAGAGGCACTCCTGAAGTATTGCAAGCCCAGTGGCGTTGCTTCTGAGTATGTTCTCTTAACTGTTTAGGTAGAGAGAGTTTTTAATTATGGAAAAGCAATGAAGTATTAAGATGTTTGTGTGTTAACTGCTTGTGTGTGTTTGTTAGGAAGCGTTTCATAGATTTTGAATTCAGTACTGCCAAGAGTTTTGGACTGTTTAAGCCAACCTGTCAGATGGGATGTATTTTAATCAAGTAAGACAGTTTTCTTTTCAGTTGGAAGAAATACTCAGTATGTTGCTTTTAAAAAGTTGTACATCCTTTTTATAGAAAATGAAGTTTGACTTTTTTTGAGATTAACATGGAGAAAATGATCAGTAATTAAGAGCCAGAGTGCATTGAAAAAAATGTTTTAAAGGAAGACCTAACTGTAACAGAATCAGAAATACTTGCATATATATATATATATATATATATAAAAGATTGGGAGGATTGTTTTATGTATAGGATTGGGAAGATTGTTTTATGGGAGGATTTCCTGTAAATGTTTGTTCTTAACCGCTTTAAAAATAAAAGATATTGTTATATTGGGAATGACTCAGCAGGGTGTTCTTCAATGAAATTGAATATTATGGTCTTAATTCAAACTTTAAAAATTTATCTTACGGTGAAAAGTTATGCAAATAATATTCAGCTGTATTGGTTGTTGGGTTGGTTTTTTTTTTTTCTGAATTTCATAACGGTGCTTAGCCTTGCAAGTCTTTCAGTTCTAATTATCTTCCTTACCTTTTCTAGTGGTGCCTTCTAGTTGATCTTTTAGCTGTACATTCCATGTAAAGATTTCAGGTGTGTGTCCCTAAATGCTTTACTGCAGGCAGGAATTATGTTAGACTTTGCAAGCTTTGTACCAGAACCTCTGGTTCAGCTTGCAGCTTGTTGGTGTGAATGATGAGTACAGTGTTCAGGCCAAATCCTGTGTAGGAAAGAAAAAGAGATAGTGAAAAATGTGTAGGGTTGTGTAGGGCTGAAATGTCAAATGTGATAACTTCTGAGGTTTGACAGAGGTTTCCTGGTGAGGTGGTTATTTTTGGGCATCCATGTGCTTTTGTAGTACTGTAAGCAGTTGACTTCTGGATCATAATTTACAACCCACAATGCATATACAGTAAAAGAGTGGGAGGAGAAACCATATTAAAGCAAAATAAATCCTTTATTATACTAAAATGAGGAAGAATAATCTGAAAGCAAACCACACAAAAAGTTTTTGCTTGAGTTTATAGTTTGAGAATTTGAGTCCCAAATGGATTTAATGATTTCTTGTCTTTGGCAATGATCCAGAGATTTTACACACTATAATTTATCTATAGTCATATTTAAATAATGTGATAAAAATTATAATCATATCAGCCATACACTTTGGCTGTCTGGAAGGTTGTTGTAAACTCAAAGTAATTTGAGCTGGTAAGCCTTAATTTCTCCAGTCATTACAGAAGTTTTAAGGAACAAGTCACTAGAAATTATGATCCAGTATTTTTTGCAGAGTATATCATATGAAGCTTAAATTTCTGATGTAATTGGAAATACGCATTGGTAACAGTATGCTACCATACAAAAATCTTAAGTTGTTTTTCTTTATTGTTGTTGTTGTGTTTAATTTGCAGCCAACTGCACTGCAATTGAGGACTTTGGTGACTGCAGTGGTGATAGTGACGGCTTCTGTCCTGCCAAAGTTCCTTGTCAATGTAAAAATGAAAAACCTTTTTGCAGGTAGGTTGTAGTGATCTTTTTCATGTAAATGTGCTTGTGGAAGATATTGTTAATGAAGAACAAAATTTAGACCCAGCATTGTGCTCTGTGAAAATGGGTATAGATCTTCATTCACAATCTGCATGAAATCACAACTGCTGAAAGCAACTGAGGTCTGAATGTAAAGTTTAATTTTTTTTACAATATGTAATTAATCATTTATATAATTACTATAAACCTGAATTTCCCCACAAATTGCTATTGTCTCAAATATTGTGCTTTAGAACTGAAATATGTAATAACAAGTTTTTTCCTCAGATTAATCAAAATGAAAGCTTTTAGAAAATCATATGTATAAACATTTTATTCTCCAAGATGTGCTTGCTTTTTTCCTTTTTAAACAAAAAATCACCATGCGAATAGAAAACATGGCACTTCCGGTTGGTTTTTTTATCATATAATTTGACAGTTAAACTTGTAGGAAGTCAGCAAGAAAATAACTGGTCAGAATTAGGAAGCTCATCTAATTAATTAGTTAACTCAAAGAAATAACTTCTCTGTGACCCAGTCATCATGTTGCTGTTTATTTATGTGACCTCCTGTTTTAGCCAATGTATCAGATGAGATAACTGAACATACTGCCTAAATTTTACTGCAACTCCAGCAAATAAAATGCTACTTGAAACTATAAATGTACGTATTTTAAATCATATCCAGCTCAATACAGGCATTGCATATTAACTGAGGTAAGATATCTGTATATCTGTTCTGGAGATAGTGAAGGTTTCATGTGATAATGAAAAGATCTTTGACCAGAATTGCCCTGTGACTACTAGGATTACATTCTCTTTTCTCGGCAAAGCTTATTATATTATCTTGGAATTGCTGCAGTGCCAACTTGGATATGCAGTTCTTGGTTGAGCCTGACCCTGTATTTGCATCATATCCAGAATAAGATGGGTAGCCATTCTCAGATCAGAAACATCTTTAGAGGAACTGAAAAAAATACTGAATCTCTGGTTTCCTGCAGTGTCCAATAGTGAATAATTCTACAGTAAGATATTTTTTCCTTTTTTTGTATTAATTACATTTTAGCAACATGATTTTAAATGTTTTTATTTGCAGATGTGATTACTACAGAGAGGGCTGGATGGAGTATTGGTACATGGGCCCTAAATGTAACCAGCTTTGGAACACACTGGATTTAATACTAGTATCTGTTCTTCCTGCAGTAGCCCTGGTTTTCTTAGTTGTTGTAATATTTCAGTGTGTCTACTGCTGTAAAGGTAAAAAAGCTGGGTAAGTTACTCTGGATACAGTTAAAAAAAGGTTTTTATAATCAATACTAAAATAAAGCAAAAGTAGCCTGGTATTCTGATTAATTTGTAACCTCTTGATATTTAAATCAATAAGTTTACCGTATAGTATCCTTTACCAAAGTATTCCTTGCACAATTTAATCCTAAATCAAGCACCTTAAGTTATTCATATTTTACCACACTATTCACAACTTCATTCGAAGTCGTTGTCTCTCTTCTTTACACAGGCTTTAAATATTAATCAGTGTATTTACTACTTCTAACTCAAGACTACCAAATCTTTCTTGCTGATGTGTTTGCTGTGAAGGATTGGCTTGCTTTCCTCATGTTCGAAAACAAAAAGGGAAATCAGACTGCTAAACACTGACAAGTGTTGCAGATTAAACACCAACCACTGGCAATTTGAGCTTTCCTTTGCTTTCAACACTTTCTTTGTTTACATTGGAGTCTCTCCCAATTCCATGCTAAATATTTCATTTTTTCCATCTTTCCTTGTGTCCTGTTAGCATGTACTCCTGGTTTGTCCAGTGTTATTGAAGAACTGCAGTATTACATAGCTTGCAAGTATCATTGCCCTAATAAATCTCAGTTGATGGTACAGTTTGTGAACAAATCTGCAGCCCAAAAAGATTCCTTATGACCCACCGAACTATTGCTGATGCTCTCAATTCGTGTTCTTCCTGCCCACCAGGAAGCAGACCAATTCTCCGTACCGTGAAGTACACCACAACCCTACATTTAGGCACGAACTGTCTGGTAACCTGGGAGCTGCTCAGCAGTCACCAAGGGTAAGAGATGTTGCATGCTGTGCATCACATGTTCCTCTTTCTAGTGGAAATTGAACGTGACCTTGTGGTTCAACAGAGTGGTGTACGAATAGCATGAAGCTGTCATCTTGTAAAACTAAAGATAACCTCAGTTTAAGATCTTAGTTTTATTTGTCCAGTATTTAATTTCCAAGGTCATCTAAATGCATGAACCTCTTCATCAAACATGAAATATATTTAGCTTGCATAGGAGAAAACAAAGAACTTGGTGTTATTTTGAAACTATATCCAAATAAAAGGTTTTTTTTTAGGCCAGTTAGAATATCAGTGTTAAAAAGAGAAAAATCTTGGATATGAGCTCAAGCCACACATTCTGGTCTCTTTCCTTGTTTCATCACTGTGCTTTTCTAGCTGCCAGGTGAGCTGCTTTCAGCCTGATCAGCTCAGAAACTCAATCACTGCGTGCTATTACTGGTAATAATGCCAGTGCAAGAAAAAGGGCAGTAGTGTGCAGCCAGAGAGGAAGAAATTGTTACTGTCAGATTTGAACCCATTAAAGCTGCTTGATGGGCTGCACCTACAGTTTCATTTGTGTACTAGCTACTCTTCACCAGAGGAAAGACTGGCTGAACATGTAGTACATCTGGAATTTCAGAGTCATCAGTATTGATTTCTGTATGAGAAGAGACAGTGTAAGAAATGACTGTTCTCTGTTTTGATGTTGAACTAAGCAGTGTCAAATGAAACTAGGCAGAAGTTTTAAGCAAAAAATAGTGCTTTTTCAAAAATTAAGTAGTTCAGCAATGTTCTTTGAATGTGGATCCATGAAGGACCAGGTGTTGCCTTCCGGACTAGGGTAACTGCTGTGACAGGTTTCTCTTAGGCAAGGTGTACTTTACAACAGAGGTTCTCACTTGAACTGGTGGTTAGCACAAGAGGAGGTGGATAAATACTTCTCAAAATCAGAACAGGAAGTGTGAAATAAAAAGAAAGATGAATGGGAGTTACGTTTTTGTGTCTTTGTATTCACTTCCTCATTCTGTATTTGAAGTGACTGTTTAAAGAGTGTATACTGTCTGAGGACACTTTATAAGCCATAGAGAAAAGAAAGAAAAGAATGTAGTCAGATGTATTATTTCCTGTTAAATATGTTTGTGAAGTATTAGTACCTTGGAAATTGAGTATATTAATGGAGAAAAAAAAATGGTATGAGACACCTACACCAGCAGGTGGTGCTGTTTAATTTGTAATTAATTCTGAATATCATGTAAATAATGCTATAGTTTTTAAGGCAGGAATTAGACCAAATTTTGCATGTCTAGTTGAGGAAAGAAATCTTACTGAAAAATGATCTACTCTGGATGATGGCTGTAGTATGTCCTACTTCATCGTTATCCAGACAGTACATTGAAGCCCAGAAACAGATGATTCTGCCTGCCTCATCTCCCTGTTAGATGTGATGGTCATGAATATGTGAGCTGCCAACGTGGCAGCCTTGTGCATGTATTATTCTGTAAACTGGGGAACCTTAACCAAAACTGCCTGAGGGAGGCGAGAGAGAAAACTGTGATCTGTATCTTTGTCTTAGTTTCAACTGGGACAGGGTTGTTTTCTGCAGAGTCTGGTATGATAGCTCCAGCGCTTGCTCTTGCAAGCAGTCTTCCCTGAATACTGCTCCTCTCCTGAGGGTGCTGCATTTTGAAAATTGCCTCAGGTCGTCAGGTTTTTTTTAAACAAAGATACCTTTAGAAACAAATATAATGTATTAGTTTTAAGATGAACAGACTTCTTGATTGTTCATGATGTTTTCATTCGTTCTCTAGAAATATGTCTGGGAAGACAGAAGCCGGTTTAAGCAGCAGTATTCATTGGTCTTTCGTTATCAATCACTGTATTTAGTTTAATTTTAGACTTGGTGTTGTATAAATCTGGGGTGAATCCACTGTTATTTGTGGAGTGGCATCTTCTTGAAATGTTTAATCATAAGAAACTCAAGAGAACTCAACTGGACTCGATAAGACCCTTAATACCTAATTTACCTTAATTGTGCAGACTTACCTGGGTACTTCTCTGTTATGCCTTAGGCATACATTTTCCACATTACTCAAATACTTAAAGGTCTTCCTTCTAGTGAATCTTTTAGATAAATTGAATTTATATATGTTAAACCATGTCTGTACTGTTTTTATTATATATTTTGTTACCAATTAAGAAGTCATCCTATACATTTTCCACCAAAGACAACTGTGAGTGCACTGTGCCTAGTGAACTATGTTTGTAATTTGTTATTTTGCTGTGTGCAACCCTTATGTATAGGTCACCTGGACTGGACAACTGCCGAAAGCTGTACTGAGAAGACAAGATTTTGAAGATCTCCCAGGCCCAAGTCACTTAGATAATTCTAGGTATGCTGTTATTTTTCCATCTTTTCTTTATTTTTCTTTATTTATTTTCACTTGATCCTTAGGTTTGAAAACCAATCATTTCTGTGTAGTCATTTTTGTCATGCTAGTGCCATGACAGAGATCCAGTAAATGCCGAAGCATTGGACTAAGTAACTTGCATGCATTATTTTGTGGCTTGAATGTGATAGAAAAGGTTGTAAGTATGACCTGGCAGACAGGACTAAACTTGTCAGCTTTCTCTGACTTCAAATACATTATTATGTAATGTTTTTGAAGTGTGTTGATGCAGTCTGCTTTCCTAATATAATACTAAAATGAAAAAGTTGGTGCAAATTTCTTTCTGCAGCTAAATTCTAGAGTACTGGTTTATCCAAAGGCTAAGGTACGTTTTTAGTCTATAAAAATTTTAATTATTTTGTTGGAAACATTTTCCGTAGTTTTGCTTTCTTACTTTTATCTTCCTCACCAGCACCTGCCCACTGTTGCATATACTCCAGCAGTTTTTGCAGAGAACATGTTTCCCATGAGGCAAATAAATGATAGCAGAACATTTTCCTCATAAGCAGCAGGGTCCTACTGCAGTCTGGAGCTGTCTAATACTTTGGTCCATTAAGAAGGCCTGATTTTTATTTTTTATTTTTTTTTAAATATGAATGTGGAAAATGTTGATGGTCAACTTATCATGATGTATTATTTTAAAAAAATCCCAAATTAATGTCTTTAAATTCACTTTTGTAGGATGAGTGGTCTTTTGCAGTAGAAGGAATTTAAAAGACAGAACAATTTGCTGTTTTACTGCAATAGCATCGACATCATGTATGCAGTTAACAGGCTTTATTATTTTTATTTATTATTTAAACAAGTACTCTAATTTACATCATATACTTTCTTTACAATGTCTTTTTTCTTTTGCATAGCCCCAGGTATGCTCAGCCACTGAGGAGACCAGACTATGTTTCCAGCCAGCAACCCCAGCAATTCGACAGCTTTGTCTATCCAGGCAGCAATAGACCTTATGGAGGTTATGCAGAGGACAGGCAGTATTCGGTATGTATGTAAACCACACCTTGTAGAACAGTCAGTCTTGGTGCTGAGAGCAATTTATCGTAACTCAGATTGATCAAATTTGTGTTGCTGAATAAGGACAGGAGTTAATAGAAGGCCTGAAAGTTCCTGTACAGGTTTTTTCTTCAGGGTTATTACATACCTGCCAATTCCGTTCTAAACTATGTAGATTTTACAGCAGGATAGAATAGAGCAGTTTGCTTGGAAGAAGGGGCTTTTAAAGATCATGCCTGCTGAAATGTTTCTACATATTTCAAAGCCTGTTTCAGTTTGTGTATGCAAAGTTTAATAGATTGTTTGCATAAAAATACCAATAAAATATTCTAATAAAAGAAATACATAAATGTAGATTAGTTACCAAATATTTTAATAGCAAGTACACTAGGAAGTGTATGTCATGCTAACAGTTGAATTCTAATCTCTTTGCAGAGATACTAATACCCCTTGATCTGAAGTATCTCAGAATGCTGCATGATCAATGAATGAGCAATCCAAACGTTGAGAGATCAGTAAGGCCTTGTGTACCTGGATGCAGAAAAAATAGTAACTCGTAGAGAGCACTAAAAGTCATTCGAAAAGAAGTATAGAAGATAATTATAGAACAAAACATAATTACAAAACTGTTATCCAATTTATTTACTGTATAATTTATGAAAGTTTATCTTTTTCTGGATACCTGATTTAACAGTTATTATATACTTAAATTGTTGCACATCTATCTGGACAGAGATTTTTGTGATTAACTATGTTGTGTGCCTGACTGACAAGTGCCTGTTAGAAACAGCTGCCTTTTCTCAGAGGAAACTCATAGGAAAGAAGAAAGTCTTCCCAAAAATCCAGTACAAGAGCTGATAAATACACGTGCTAATTATCATTCTTCCTTCATTGCTGTGGATTTAAATCTATATTAAAAAGAAAGGAGAAGCTGCATTTTTCCTTATTCCTCAGGAAGGCTTGTCAAAGACAACCTCTGCCAAGTACAGTTTTTCCATTTGGCTTTCCTGTTCATTTGTGATTTTTACTCCACTCTGTATCGCTCACAAGCTAGTAAGCAATGGTTCCTAATACAGTGTTTTTAAATAAGACCATGTATTTCTCTGACTGAAATGTTGGAGATTCTTTAGGGCATTTTAGTGTGTAGAATCTATTGTTCCCTGATAGGCATTTGGTTTTCTTTTTTTTTTTTTTTTTCTCCACCAAAAGAGCCAGTAGTTAAGAAAGAAAAGCAACAGATTTCATACAAGCTTGAATATTTATTAAAATCTGTATTCTTGCTAACTCCAGAATCCCAAAGAATGAGGCAAAAGGGAAGGAAGGTTCTCTTGTCAGGTGTAGCCACCTAGTCCACTGATACTAGCAGCACTGAACGAGTGTAAACGAGGCACTTAGGTTCTCATTTTCTCAAGATGCATCAAATACTGAAATACTGGCTAATATAGCAGTGTGAGCCCTGCAGTCCCTTGTTTCTTTTTGTCTTAGTCACCTTGTTGAAACTAACAGCTCAGATTTTTTTCTTTAAAAATACAGTCTTTCTTTGTAACATCTTTTGTGAATAATGAAAATAAATGAAGCTATGGAAAACTGACTGCCTTGCCACTAACTAAGAAATAAAAGGTACTGGAGACCTGAATATTTTTCCTGTTTTCCAAAAAGGCTCAAGCGCGTTATTTTAACACTTATTCTAAACGAGCATTTTCTTTAATGTTAGGTGATGCATGAAACAGTATGACAAAATAGAATCCTAACGTTTTTAGAAACATGAAAATACTGGCATTTCTTACTTATAAATCAGAATTCCTCCTTATAACCAGCTTGATGGCTTAGCTGCATTATGGCTCTTTCTATGCTCTCCACAACTGTCAGTTATTGGCTGAACTATAATGGCTTTCCTGTGCAAGTACCCTTGCAAAGGTAGAAAATACTTGCACTGGTAGAAAAGCCAGAAATCTATCCAGATCCCCTTCATTCTCCTTTCTTTTCCTCAAAAAAAAATGTAGTGAATAGATTCAGCTCCCTAAAAATGGAACTATGGCTCCAAAACTGGCAGTTTTTTCATAGCTCTGTAACTTAGCTTCTGTTGTGATGGCTAAATCTCCAGTCAAAATTTGTTGTTGTTGTTTTTGCTTTGTTTTCTGGTAACAACTATCTAACATGGGTAAGTTTCACCAGTTTTACTACTGTAAGAAACCAGTAGGCATTTCAGTCTGGGCCTAAAAGATATTGAGGCAGATTTACAAATTGTCAAAGCACTGAGTGATAGGGTAATTTTTCATGAATAGCTGAAAATGCAGTCACCAAAATTCATTAAAAAGAATCCAGAGAGTTTCTGAATGTGGACTGCTTGTAAACCTGCATTATAATGTCCTCTGAGGCTCTGTGCAGCCAAGAACAACGCCTTTACATATCAGCATTAATAATTTTCTTGCTGATTAAAGCACAAATATAAAATATGCATACTTTTAACATCCACACAAACAGCTTGAAGAAGCATCTTGTCTCACCAGAGGATGAAGCATGGAAGAATTACACTCCATTTACTTGTGTGACTGCCTGTCCTTTCTATAGGCATGTTCAGTGACAGTATCCTACTAATCGTCCAGTTCCTTTTCAGTTTCTATCAGAAATACGTGAAAATATTTGTCTGTCATCATCTGAATCATAACAGAAACTGTGCTATTTAGATCCTAGGTTATCAGTTTAAGCTGTTAAGACCCGAGAAGGGTCAGCTACAAGCGTATCAGAATTTTGTCCATGAACTTTGTTTTCCATCATTTTTAGTCTCTAGTAGTGCCATAATTAAAAAACCTCTGGTTGTTACTGACCTCTGGCTCCATTCACCAATCTGTGGGTAACTGTAGAATTTGAGTGCTAGATTTCATATTCTACCTCTCCTTTGCAAAGGTATAGGAGAAAGAGATGAGGCAATCCTGTCAAAATATATTTGGTGCTGGCAAAAGAAGAGCTAACTGGAAGTACGTGTTCATGCTGCTTACATTAAAATGAATAAATTTTCACAGAGAATGAAGCTTTCCTGTTCAGACTTCCCTGCTCTTTGTTCTTCAGGCAGATGAAGAGTTGCAGGACATCAGCCAGAGGGATAGGCACTGCTCCTGTTTTACTTAACCATTCATGGTCAAATCATCAATGTTAACATCAAGCAGTGGTATGTGAAAGAAAAAAAGCGAAGAAAGTGCTTGAAATAGCTTGGTGTCATTTAAAGTAATCATTACAATTGTAAATACCTTTCTGGTTACATCATTATGCTTCCGCTGTCTCCCTCTTACCTGGAGAGCCAAGAAGCTCCACAGTTCTTTGGAATGCTTGTGTTCTTAGCTGAAGGGCAAAGGGCAAGTCTAGTCCTCTTATGGTTATTATGATGTGCTACTTCCCTGTCAGATACAGACACTTTTAATTGTTGTACAGAGTGGTGTTTTGGCTTTTGTACATTCTTTCTGATGCAGTGCTGTGACTTTTAATATTTAGATGCCTGTGATCACTGGTATCTTAGATTTGCTTTGATGTGGTCGTGGTTTTCTTGCTGTTCTTTTCATTCTGTGCTTCTGACCAGTGCTTTCTTTGTAATTGCATCCTCACTCTGCAGATAATGCATGTTGGTTCTGATTTTATATGTTATGTCACATTGTTAGCAGTAGCCTTGTTGTTGCTTGTTGCTGCTTTTTGCTTTGAGCTTTTCCTTGGCATTTCTGAAGAGGGAACCCAGTACAGATTGGATTTTGTTGAGGAAAAGGGATAACTGTCTCTGTTTTTTTGATTGTATCACCTTGTAAGATGCTCTTGCTCACTCTTCCAATTACGCAGTTTTATGATTATCTTTTTAGTTATTTTTCCACTCATTCATACATTTTGGACATCCCATTAGACTTTTAGGCAGCTGAATCCCACTGTCCATGAACAAAATTCGTGTCAAATGTAACTGTAAGGACAAAACTTTATAAAACAAAGATTCATTTCTTTCAGTTACCTATGTTCTTATTACCTATTAAAAAAAACCAAAAACTCAACAGTTGATTATTATGTCCCTAATGGTGTTTGAAAGTTGACCAACTCTGTGCAAATATACATTGAAAACAATTTGTGCGCCCATTTAACAGGTTGGTTTCTAAATTAGCGGTGTTTGTACCCTTAGCTTTGAGCAGAATAAGCTTAGAAGAATTCGGGTGTACAACCCATTTGGGTCAGTCAGAGAACAGACCTGATAGGCTCCCCTAGACTTGAAAGTTCTTCTATGTTCTAAGCATATGCCATTTCTACCTGTTGAACAGTTGGGTAACATGGGGACTAAGACATATTCATTCTAGCAAGATCCTACAGATACTGTAACAGTGTTCTGCTACATCTTGCAAAGCTAAGACAAAAGAAAACAAAACAAAAACAAACAAACAAACAAAAAAAACCAACAAAAAAAAAACTACCTATATGGGAATTGAATCCACATTGCTTACTTTGAGGCAGAAGTCCACAACGTGGACACGGGTAAGTTTCCAAGTGATTCTAAATTTAGTTAAATGTGTATGTTTTAGTTACATACAGAATGTAGGTTTTAGAGACCTAAGATTGGGATTTTAATTCTTATTTATTTTTTTGATACTTTGTTAAGAGGCAGATTTTGTGGGTTTTGCATGTATTTAATGTATGTACGTGGTGTTAATTATAAGTAGATTTCATCAGTTTAATGGTAAGCTGGACATGGTACATGCTTATGGCCTACACTACCTTAGGGATGCGTATTAATTCTCTTGAACAATTTTTTTGCTGTTCTTTGCTGGACTAGCCAATACTTTGCTAAGTGTATTACTTGGGTGGAGATTAGCCTTCATGTGGGTGTACTGAAAATAATGAAAGAAGTGATGCTGTTCAGCATCACATTTGTGCCTGCAGTTTCTTCCAATTTACTAGCAGGTAGGGTTTTCTTCTGTTAGTTGTATTCTTGAAGTTGTAATATGGGCAAGAATGGATTTTAAATCCCCACACCTGTGGTTTTAGTATTGCACTGCTGTGTGATCCTGTAATGAAGTCCTCGCTGAGGTGCCTTATTGGTTGTGGATGAGGACAGTGACACCGCACCAGGTCACTGGGATGCCCTTTTGACACTTTTTTGCGTCTGCCTGTGCTTTTGTATCTCTGAAATGAATATGCGAAGCTGGAAGTAACAGCCAACTGAGTTAGAAATTCGGCTGGCCTTCCCTTGTCTCAGGGGAGAACAAACGCTCCTTTGCACAGCTTGCTGCTGTGAGCGTCGGGAACAAGAAGTCGTGCTTTTTCCCCCGAACTGTGGTGTGGTAGGGCCGGGCCGTGACCCCGGGTCGCGGAGCCGCCGTCTCGTCTCGTCCCGGCCCGCAACGCCGGGCCCCGCGGTGCCGGATGCCGCCGCCGGCCGCGAGGGCGTAAGGAGCGCGGGCGGCCGGCGACCGGCTCCGAGGCGGTTCCCCCGGCCCCAGCCTGGCGCTCGGCCCGCCCGGGCCCCCTCCCCGCTCCCCCCGCCGCGCACAGGCGCGCTCGGCGGCGCGGGCAGAGCGAGGG